CTTTTTTCATAACTGTCTCATTTGTTTGCAGCCAGTCGTCAGTGAGGTTCACGTGCCCCAGCACAGTGGAGCGCTATCAGCACGACAAATACGGAAGGGAACCAGTGACAATAAAAGACAATCTCAAGGGCATCAACTGTCTTGTTTGTTCTGTGTTTGTACTTCCCTTAGTGCAAACAAGAACTGTCAAAGCCTTGGTATTACTGGTGGATTTTGTAGCTTTTTATTTTTTGGGAAAGAACCCTACATACCTGGCGCCTTTAAAAAGCTGTTTTATGGCCCTAGGCGAGGATGAAGGGTGAAGAGGAGCCCCACGTACCTTTGTTCTGCAAGACAAGCTCAATGTACTAGGTCAGTAAAATGCCTGATTAATAATGCAATGTCATAAACATTAATGGCAAAAGCTCATTGTTGTGGTGGTAATTATGTAACTGTGATGCAACACTGTGACCAGAGACATTCAAGCAGTTTGAAATATATTCCTGGGTACTATTGTGTTGCCTCGGTAAGAATATTCTAGCTTTGAAAGTCAAGAGTGTTTTTGCTATAATTGTGGCTGCAGCCACACTTTTTTTCATATTCAAAGACTCTTTGAAGTTATATTAGAAATATTTATGCTTATTTTTCCCCTCCTAAGATAACGCTTTGTCTTTAAAGCAAGCCTACAAACATTTTAGCTGATTATGTCATCTCCTTTACTTCAAATGTGACTATACTGTCTGGAATTTGGCACCTTCCATTTTGTGTTTTTCTAGGCCAGATTCACACTGATGTTACCAGGAGCAACTCTATTGACTTCCGCAAGGTTTTACTCAATTACACCGTGTAAACGACAGGACACTGAAAATAGCCCAAGAAACCAGATTTTCAAAATAATCAACTGGTGTTTTCTGAAAAAAAAGAAGAAAAAAGACAAAAGAAAAATACAGCTATCCTGCAAGCAGCACCCCTATCCCATAATGGTAAAACAGGCTAACTGTAACTGTGGAGAGTGATACAGGCAGAAAGGATTGCTTTCGTTTCTCTGTTTGTTTTTATTTCCTCAAGTGAAGAAAGTTCCTATTGTTGTCTGTTTTGAAACTGATAGAAAATGCTGAGTGAAATGACTAAAAGCTGAATTGCTGGAAATATCTATGAGATGAGTTCTGGAAGTCTTACATATTCCCCTCCGTAGACCATGCCACCCTTAGTGAGGGAGCACAGGACTACTGCAATGGAAAAACTGAGCAGTTGTGTCCTCCCAGACTCTCCCTTTTCTTGGGAACTCAGAGGAACATCCTTGTGGAGACACTTTGGGAAGCGTCTCTCCACTTTGCTTGTTTTCCTACCCTCCTTACGTACAAGCCAGCCCCATAATTACACCTCTGCCGACCACGGATGTTTCTGAGAAATGATTCCTCACTCAGGCTATCCAAAACACCAGAGGGCAGCAGAAGTGTTAAAGCAGGCATTGCAAAAGCATCGCCTTTCCTTGCACTAGCGTCTCTAGGATGGTAAAATGGGCTCACGTAACAGGTTCATAGTGCCTAGATGGTATCGATTCATAGCAAAAGTGGAAGAAAAACAACTTAATTATGATGCTACCAAAATTGTGCAACTTCTGAGCAGCACCGATGGAAACTGTCGTGACCGTTATGCATGAAAATAGAAGTTAAATACTGAAAGGCTGCTGAGTGTGATAGATGCAGGACGACTTTATTTCTCAATGAATCATACATCAGCATGATTACTCTTGAAAACCATATGTACCCCCGTTCCACTGCAGAAGCTCCGTGTACCCCGTCCTCTGGGCTAGGGACTGCAGATCCACTTAAATACCTTCTGCAGACAGGAACGATTCCCGTTTTTCTTGCCTCTTTCATCTAATGCAGATAATTTAAAACCTGGATTCTCTTCAGTGTCACCCTTTGATGCAGTGTTACAGTCTCCAGGCTGTCCCATGGCACAGGTGACTGCTGCGTCTTAGAGCACCAAATCCCCGGTCGCTTCTTCCCATTTGGGAGGAAGAAAAATCATGAGTCTTTTAAAAAGAAAAAAAAAAAAGTTACTTTCCCACCTGGGGCTGTCCTTCTTGTGTGTTCTTTCTAAAAAGACTGGTTCTGTTTGCCAGACTAAAACACTTAATCAATTTGAAATGAAAACAGCAACTATAATTAAAGGGAGCAAAATCCCACCACAGCAGAGGAACCATTATTAAGGTAATTTTTTCTTTATAACTCCTGGGGCACTGTTCACATGCAGTTGCTACTATATATGCTGTTTGTGCGTCACCTCCTCTTCATAAGCTCCATGGAGAATACACTGTTAGCTTAATAATAATAATAATAAGTCAGCTTTTCGTGTGAGTTATACCAAGCACCATGTAAGTGCTAATTGAATGTTGCAATAGCCTGTTCTATGTGATTCCCTCCTCCCATAGAACGGCACAGCAGCCCCGTGACCTGCCTGGGTCATACTATTGCCTTCACGTTAGCAGCTCCTTCCTCATGCTGCCGGACAACAGCTCTGTAAGCCAAAGGTCTCTCCCACCTCCATTTCAAGCCCTGCGGGTGCTCAGATGTTACGTCTCCATGCTTCTAGATGAAGGAGCCTGCAGCACAACTGGCCTCTCAAAGGGCTAGCACCCAGCTAGCTTTAGGTAATGAAAGCAATATAGAATCATAGAATCAGAAATGTTGGAAACCACCATGCCTGCAAACCTCAGTGCCACATTCACACAGCTCTTGAACACCTCCAGGGACGATCACTCCACACCTCCCCGGGCAGCCTGTGCCACTTCCTCAACACTCCTTTTGAGAAGAAGTTATTCCTAATATCTAATCTTAAACTTCTCTTGGTGCAACCTGCGGCCATTCCCTCTCATCCTATCACTGTTACCTGGGAGGAGAGGCCATTTCCCACCTCACCACAGCCTCCTTTCAGGTGGTTGTAGAGAGCAATAAGTTCTTCCCTGAGCCTCCTCTTCTCCAGACTGAACAATCCCAGTTCCTTCAGCTGCTCCCTATCAGACTTGTGCTCCAGATCCCTCAGTGCTTCATTGCCCTTCTCTGGACACACTGCAGGGCCTCTACGTCATTCTTGTAGTGAGGGGCCCAAAAACAGTAACAGTATTGAAAACAGTACTTGAGGTGCTTCCTCACTGGTGCTGCATACATATACATAATTCATTAGAAAAGAGAAGCAGACAAAATCCTGTTTGCTTCACTAAAACGTCCTGCTGGATCTCTCCCATGGATGTTTATGACACGCAGCTCACCACCACATTTTTCTCCCTGGATTTTCATAGTGTAAATTAAAAACAAAACAAAACAAAATAAACCCATAAATAAAACCTGACGATAAATTCATTTTTGTCCTTCAGGTGAGTCCCTCCTGAGCTCTCTGTACATCACTCATGGAGTGGAGAACCATCATCTCTCCATCTCTCATCACGAGTTCCAGAAAATCATCAGCTAGAGGTGAAAACCATCATGTTGATTGCAGCCATGCTGTGCATCTTTTTATTTCAAGAAGCCTGACAGATCCAGTTGCCTCTGGATGGAAGACCGGCATACTTGTCCTGAATGCCACTGAGGGTGGTGATCAGACTAAGACTTCAGACTAAGACAAACTATATTCTGGCCAGGAGACCATAGAATTATAGATTCACTAAGGTTGGAAAAGACCTCTAAGATAATCTATCCAACCTATCACCACTATGTCCGCTCGTAGTCATGGAATCATTAAGGTCAGAAAAGACCTCCAAGCTCATCAAGTCCAGGTGGCATTGGGAGCCCCTAGTGAATGCACCAGGATGGAGTGCGTAGAAGACAGTATGGTCCAGTCACTAGCTGGAGCACTACTTCTCTAAGAACATCCTAGGCTGACTCTCACCAAGATTAAGTTGAATAACAGATGTTATCAACGTCTGTTGATCAGGCAGGCACCAGTCAAGACTTATTTTCAGGGTGAAGCTGGAATTTGAGTGGTAATGAACAAAGTTTGGTCACTATGTGTGTGCAGAGAGAACGTCTACTTGCTCTAACAGAGTATATCTGCCACTCAGCGCCTGGCAATGGACCTTGAGGGGAATGTCTTTGGATGTCCAGTTTTAACCTTGAACAGCCTCAGCGTGCAGAAGCAATCACTTCCCAAGTTTTGTTCCTAGATGACAGCCCTGCAGGTGTATCAGATCACAGAATCATTACAGCTGGGAAGTTCTTGAAGACCATTCAGTCCAACTGTCAGCCCGTGCTTGTGAGCGCTCTGAGCCGCGTCACTCAGTGCCACATCTATCCTGAAAGCTACCAAGGACGGTGACTCCGCCACCTCCCTGGGCAGCCCGCGCCGATAATCGGCCAGAGGACTGCAGACGGAGGGGCTCTTTGTTTCATTTCATCCTCCGTGCTGGTGCCCAGCCGGGGGACCCACATTTTTCCCAAAGAGCCGCGAACGGCACCCCCGTGAGTCCCGGTCCCCAGACGGGGCGCCGCCTCCGTCGAGCTCCGGGCACGGCATCGCGGGCGCGGAGGGGAGGCGCTGAGGGGAGGCGGTTAACGGCTGCCGAGGCGCGCGCCGGCAGGGGGCGACCCCGGCGGGAGACGGGAGGGCGTCACGTGAGCGCAGGGAGTCGTTTCCCCCCTCCTCCCCCTCCTCGGGCGGGGACGGGGTGGGGGTGCGGGAGACCCAGGTGCCCCCTCCCTGCCTCCCTCCGCCCTGACGTCACCGCCCCCCCGTCGCCGGGGCGACGGCTCCATCAGCGCGCGCGTCAGCGCCGCCCGTTCCTTGGCAACGGCGCGGTGTCTCGCTCTCCTTCAGCCTCGCGCCTGGGCGCGCGTCTCTCTGGCGTCAAAGTGACGTCAATGGGCCCCGCTCTCGGCTTTCGGCGGTGGGCGGGGCCCCGCGCGGCGGAGAGAGGGGCGGAGGGGCGGGGGGACATCCCGCGTGCTCCCGCCCTCCCGCCCCCCGGCGCACGCTCCCTCCTCCCTCTCTCCTTCCCTCCCTCCCTCCCTCCTTCACTCACTCGCTCACTCACTCACTCACTCGCTCATACCCCGCCACCGGCATCGCGGCGGCGACAGAGAGCCCGCCAGGTAGAGGCGGTTGCGGAGCGGCCGCCCGAGGCCGAAGGGGAAGAGCTGGGCTCCGGGGGATCCGCCGCGCCGTCCCCGTGCGAGCTGCGAGCGCCCGGGGGCGGCGCCGATGCTGCCGCCGCCGTGGTGAGTCGCGGCGCGGTGCCCTGTCGCCCGCCGCCCGCCTGAACCATGGTGATCATGTCAGAGTACGCCTCAGTGCCGGCTTCCAGCGCAGCCCAGCCGCGGCCCCTGCGGGTCGGCTTCTACGATATCGAGAGGACCCTGGGGAAAGGCAACTTCGCCGTGGTGAAGCTGGCCCGCCACAGGGTGACCAAGACGCAGGTGGGTACGGGGCCGAGCTGGAGGGTTTCTCTCCTCTTTACCTATAGATGTAGCGTAGAAATAAAGCGGAGCCCGCCGTCCGCAGAGCGCTGCCGAGTGCCTCCCTCTCTGCGAGTCCCAGCCGCGGGAACCTTCGCACCCCCTGAAGGCTTTGCACGTGTCAAGAGGGTCCCACGAAGGTGTTGGAGTCCCCCGTTGGCTCCCCGCGGGACCGCTCCGTCCCGTTGCTTCGCTCCAAGAACAAAGAACTCGCCGTGTTCGTTTGCAGAGCGTTTCCCCGCGGCCGTGCAGCAGCGGTGTAGCACTGCGTGTCCCTATCGCCCTCTCCTAGAAAAAAAAAATAAATACTCCCTTACAAGAACGTGTTTTTCGCTGGATTAAAAGATTTACCGAATTCCATCCAGCGCTGCCCTTCCGTAGTTCCCTTCGTTGTGTTGCATGCGATTGGAGCAGCTCGGGAAAACACCATCAGCTTTGGCCAGACCGTATCTAAAGTCCACCTTACGTGCGCGCTGTGAGCTTGTGCGTGGTTTTGCGTGTGGTGTTTTGGGGTCGTGCTCTTTCTCTCCCCATCATAAGAAGCGTACCTTCTTTGTAATGCCAGCAGCTGTTTGATGTGATTACTGTTATTTTTTTTTTAACCTGCAGGTCGCGATAAAAATAATAGACAAAACAAGGTTAGACCCCAGCAATCTGGAGAAGATTTATAGAGAAGTGCAGATAATGAAGCTTTTGAATCACCCCCACATTATCAAACTCTATCAGGTAAGAGGTCAGCTTTGAAGCACGGCATGCAGATGAGATATGCCTGTCCTCTTGCATTTGGCTTTGCATGAAGTGTTTGCAGCAAGAATGTGAACTGAAAGAGTTTTTGGAGACTAAAGTTCATTTACAGTGGGGGTTTTGTTCATTTAAAGTTATCATTCTGGTACGCTTGTCAGTTTCTTTACAGAACAATGAAAAAAGACTGAAGTTTGTTTCAGATCAAGGAACAGGTTGTCAGAACTTGTAGAGTTAACTTGCCTTCCAAGCTCCTCTTCTGTATGTTTGGAAGACTGGGACTTCTCGCGTGCTTTTGATATGAGGAGGACTTAAACTCTCTAAGGGCAGCAGAGTAGCAGGCACAAAAGCTGGGCTTGCCATAAGTGAAAGCAAATTCAGCAGTGAATAAACTCAAAAAGAAAAGACTTGGAAATATCGATATTGTAGAATATATGAGGAAATGACCCGTTTGGGTTATTCTGTTCCAGTTCGCATAGTTTTGAAAATAAGTTTAAAAGATCTTTTCCTTTGTGGAGTTTCAAGGTGTTGAGTTCTGATTTGGATTCATTCAGTTTCTGTGCTTTTGCTTTTGCCTTTTGGAGGGTATTAGAACAGTAAAAGTAAGCTTCTGCACAAATGTGTGGTGCAGCAGGCAGAGTGGCAGCTGCCCAGTGAGCGAGGGCTGCCTTGCAAATTTGGAGTCTTTGATCCAATTAGCGTTTGGTGTATGTTCCTCTTAATCATCTTAAATAACGCCATGCGGATTTAAGAAGATGAGGCATCACGGTCTTTCTGCACCTGGCCAGAAGGACAGAGGGGGAGAGGAATGGATTAAGAAATGAAGCAGCAGGTCTGAAATTGTGTGCGCTGTTGTACGCACAACTGTCAAGCTGTTATCTTACCGTTGGGTTGGTTGGCTTAATTAACATTCTCCTTGCTTGAAACGTGTAAGGCTGAGGAGCCTGTAGAACAGGTGTTTAGGCAAGGCATTGTTTTTCAACACCTTGACACGCGTGAATTGCTTTGCTGTTTACAGTATTAAACCATCCGAACAAAAATGATTTTTGCGTTGCCGTCTGACGTCATTGCTGCCCATAGGATATACCAAAACATTCTAACAGTTCTGTTGATTTCATTTCGGTGGAATGATGTGGGTGAAAATACTGTTTGGAAGCTGTTAAAAAAGCAGGTTAAATTCCATCTAGTTGAACCACTTCACTTGATTGAGCAAATGACGTTGGTAGTGGACCATAATTTCTTTTCAGCAAAGTTTTCTTCTCTTTGTTGCTGTAACTGATGCTTTACCTGTTTGGTGGAGGCTGAGAAGCAGGGATGGAATTAGATGACATACCAACATAGGGTGTGTGTTCTTGTATTATTTCATCATTGTTTTAGTTTCAGCACGGCGTCTTAATTTCATCCAGCTGGCATTTATCCCAGAACACTTTCCTTCGGTTTTTTAAACTGGGAACCTCTCTTCCTTTGCTCCCTTCTTGTTTGTTTTCATTTTGTGTCTGTGTGTACTTGTAGAGGGAAGGACAAGAGTATCCAAAAAAGGTTATGTGTTAGGAAGCTGGAAATTGCAGCCTTTGAAGTAGTATCGGCTCTTGTTTGATTGTTAATATGTTGCGAGCCTCCTGCTTCCCAAACAAAATATTGATTCCCTGTGAGTCCTATTCCAGGGAAAGGTTATATTTCTGAAAGCTGAAATGTGACATTTAAGTGATGTGGCTTAGTAAATGAAGATGAATTCCAAAATGCTCAGTTTTGTTTGGGTTTAGTTTTGCTTTTCTTTTTTTTTCCTCCAAAGATGTGTCAGCTTCCTCTGACAATTACTGTTTTGCATGGATTTGCACGGGGTTGGTAGTTGAATGTTGAATAGCCCAGTGATAGCTGTTGATGTGCCTCAAGCACTGCAGTAACACCAACAACAACCTTTTTTCACTCGCATGGGAGGCTTGCTGTGCCCCCAGCCAGCACCAAATGGGAGTGGGGTGTTTGGTAACACTTGTTGATTGTCCGAGTTGCAGGTATCTCCTGATCTGAGTGCATGCTAGGTGTGAAACAAAGATGGCTTTAAGTGAGCTTTGTGTCCTTGTGTGTTCAAAATAAGTCCAATGAGTTGGAAACCTGCATATGCATATTTTAACCAAAAAGGGAATTCAGGGAAGTATATAAAATCATGAAATGCTCGTCAATTATCTTATGGAGATTACGTGGCATCATAATGGTAAGAGGAACAATACCACGGGAAGCCATTGTATGTTGTAGGCACAGAAGCATTGATTGGTTATCTTTTTCATTACCAGTTTGCTAGGAAGGAACACTGCAATGCAAAATTAGATGTCTTTACTGCCAGCTACTGTGGCAAAAAAATAACTGAACCAATATATCTGAGAACAGTTTTAGGGAAATGAAAGTAACTGCAGAGGTCTGTGTTTCTTTAAGCATGTCCTCTCGTGTCTTGGCAGGTTATGGAGACAAAGGACATGCTTTACATTGTTACTGAGTTCGCTAAGAATGGAGAAATGTTTGGTAAGTTCTCATGGCAATACCTTGCAGTTCTTTAGATTTAGAGCTGGTGACCATGTTGTTGTCATTCCTGAGCAATATCTGTTTGGATTAAAAACCCAGAGTCGCTGTTGTCAGCTGTCAAACAGCAAGTGCAGCATCTGGAAGACTACAGAATCATTTTTCAGGTATTTCTAACTCTTGTGACTCTCTTGTCTTGCAGATCATCTGACCTCCAATGGGCACTTGAGCGAAAGCGAAGCGCGGAAGAAGTTCTGGCAGATTCTTTCAGCAGTGGAATACTGTCACAGCCACCACATAGTGCACAGGGATCTCAAAACAGAGAACCTTCTGCTAGATGCTAACATGAATATCAAATTAGCAGGTAATGAGAAATGCCTGGTTACTCTATAAATGGCGTTAGGCATGTGGTCAAATTCAGCCTCCTTAGCATAATCTCATAAATGTATTTGGAGTAACTGAAAGTGAACGTTACTGATATTTCTCTGAATATATCCTCTAGACAAAAGAGAATAGCTCAAATAGGTATGCAGAAAGCAAAGCAAAACACCTGCTTCCTTCCCTCTGTTTTCTGCTACTTCTAAACAGTTTGCATGTGGCTGAATAATGTCTTACACCAGACTTCTACTTTCCTTCCAGACTTTGGCTTTGGAAACTTCTACAAGTCAGGAGAGCCACTCTCCACGTGGTGTGGAAGCCCACCCTATGCAGCTCCAGAAGTTTTTGAAGGCAAGGAGTATGAAGGACCTCACCTTGACATATGGGTGAGTGTGATATTCCTTTGGAATTCCGTTTCACACTTTGCTATGGACTGTGAGCTTTGAAAACCGTTGTTTCTATTGGAATCACTCATACTCTGTGCTGTTCTCTGTTGACAGAGCCTTGGAGTGGTGCTCTATGTCCTTGTCTGTGGTTCTCTGCCTTTTGATGGACCCAATTTACCAACTCTGAGGCAAAGAGTGCTAGAGGGGCGGTTCCGCATCCCATACTTCATGTCTGAAGGTACTTTGTTTTCAGATTCTTAATGTTAGAAAAGGAACTGAGAGTAAAGGAATAGCTGTCCTGTTCTTTCTTGAGGCAGTGTCCAGATGGTTCTGCAGCTGGCAATCACCTTGTCTTTGTGTCCAGTAATTTCTGTAGGGCAGCACTTAAGATCAGGGGCTGATTGTAGGTGGTTTCTTTTTCTGAGGTCTACTTTATGGTGTATCTAAAAAGCTCTCATTTCATTTCTTAAGAGTATTGCTTTAGATTACAAAAATTGAAGCCCTGGCTGTAGAAACAATCACTCACAAAAGAGAGAAAACAAGCTTTTAATGAGACTAGCCTGCAATGCTGAGGTGGGTGTAGTTCTGAGATATTCAAACTATGCAGAAAGGGTACGTTTCAGTATGGCTTTGCTGCCAAAGAGAGCAGAAATAGTGAAGCTTAGCACTGTTTCTTGAATGCTTGCACTTGGACAGTCCGGTGAGAAAGAGGAGCTGAGAGGTATTATCAGCTCTCTCCAATTAGGATTTGAAAACAAATGAATATGCCTCTCTTCAATGGAATAATATCTTCTAAAGTCTGATCTTGATCAGTCTTAGCTATGAATGGCTTTAATTCCCTGGCAGTAAACAAATAAGCAGTATGCTTGGACCAGGAGTTCATATTTTAACATGTACAGTAGTTCTTTGTAAATCCTAACCTATTTCAAGTGGATGTACCATAGTTAAACCTACATCCACTCAAAATTAGCCCCCTTGCAAGGTAGAGGGCAAACTGAAACCTACTTTTAGCCAATACAGTGCCATTTTGTTCAGTGACACGTTGCTTCTATGAAATATGTACTGCTCTTGTGCTGGTTTGGATATTTAGCAGTCAGACTCTGCATCAGCTGTTCAGAAAACTTTTAATTCCTGTTTTCACAGGCGTCAAATCCTGGTGGTGGGAAAGTTTCTTAGCAAATGCCTGGGTCTGAACTGGCCTTTTTATTCCTTGCTCATGAGTTTATCTTTGTCATCTAGACTGTGAAACACTAATCCGACGGATGTTAGTCGTAGACCCGACAAAGCGAATAACCATTTCCCAAATAAAGCAGCACAAGTGGATGCAAGCTGACCCATCCCTTCGACAGCAACAGTCCTTGTCCTTCTCCATGCAAAACTACAACTCCAACCTGGGTGACTACAATGAGCAGGTCCTTGGGATCATGCAAACGCTTGGCATTGACAGGCAGAGAACTGTTGAGGTGAGCGGAGCTTGTCCTTCCAAAGTGTTTTCAGTGACTACCAGAATGCCAGTGGTGCAGTCATGTATATTGTTCAGTGACTAGCCTTGATGCAGTTTCACAGCGTAGTAGAATCTTCACTGCCCTTCTGAGTTTTTACTTGTTTTTTTGAGTACACAATTACGAAGTCTTAATAATGAGTTGTGGCTGCGTATCTTGAGTTATGTGTAACTGGGGTTCTTTGTATTCTAGTCTTTACAGAACAGCAGCTACAACCACTTTGCTGCCATTTATTACCTGCTCTTGGAGCGCCTCAAGGAGTATCGAAGCAGCCAGCTATCGAGTCGTCCAGCAACTGGCCGTCATCAAAGGCCAAGGAGCTCCGAGATCAGCAATGCTGAGGTAAGGAAGGACATTGTTTACCTGGGAGGGTGTATCTGTGGGTTCTTTTCTGCCACTTTCTATGGCAGAAAAGATTGCAGCTTTGAGGCTTCTGAGAGCCGATTGTGTCCTTTGATAGGACAGGCTACTATTCTTCAGCAGGATGCTGATTGATTGAGTACTAACTGTCTGTAGAGCATGATCCAGAGAATAGTTTGCCTCTGGTACAAGTCAGTAATGAGCCAGATTCTCAGGCTTCTCGTGGAAATTTGCCTTCTCAGGCACGGATCAGTTACTCTTTTGTTATATGCCCGGTAGGATCCTCAGAAATACTCCATGATTCAGTTTGTGTATTTCTTCTGACTTTTCCTAGCCCCTACCCCCTTTTAATTGTGCTTGGGTGCCTTTTCAAATTGTCCTGGCGGTTTAATAGTCTGACTTAGGAGAAGTACTTTGTGTTTGTGTTGGCACTGAAAGAGTAGCTTTGTTAATTTTGATAGAAAGTGCATGGAGAAGGCTGGCACGGAAGGTGTCTCTAAAATTCCTTGAACCTACAATATTTGAAGAATCGCGTGGAACAGCAGTGTATGTGATGGCTACTGTGCATCTCTCTCTGCCTTCAGATGCCTCAGGACAGTCTCACTAATGAAACCCTGCGATCATCTCTGCTTTACCAGCAGCCTCAGAGTCTGATTCAACCATCTTTGCAGGCAGAAATGGACTGTGATGTGAATAATCCATTACAGGTGGGTGTTCTAAGCTGAACTGTGTGTAACCGCCTCTTCTGTTGTGGGTTTTTTGTTTATTTTTAAATTGTTCTGTTGATTTTTAAAAAGATAGAGGTCGTGATAGTTGTTCTCTCCCTTGAATCCTTTGGCACTTGGGCATGGTGTTGTAGTAGCTTCTCAAACAGTACACCTTCTGAGGACACACCACAGGGCTCTGAAGAGCATCAAAACATAGAGAAAATAAATCTCTGAATTGACATGTTTTGCAGCCTGTGTTTTTTCCTGTGGATCCCAACTTCAACGGGCTGTTTCGAAATCGCTCCATCTCCCCCAGCAGCCTTTTGGAGACCACCATTAGTGAAGAAGTGAGGCAAGAGAAAGAGCTGGAAGATGAAATTAAGGCGTACGACCACCCCATCCGCATCCCTAGCAACACCAGCCGGAGGCACACGCTGGCTGAAGTCACTCACTTCTATCAGCATGCCCCTCCATGTAAGTCTGGGAGCAATGACGGTTGTCCTTAGTTAGAGGAGAATGATGGAGAAGGTGTGCCATAGCAGAAAAATTCCTGAGGGTATGTGCTGATTTTAACTTGACTGAAGTAGGAAAACCCAGAGAAGAGGTCTCTACTCTGCCCCCTCTAGTTCTGACTTCCCATAAATAAGCGTGGCCCTTCAGGAGGAGACACAGTATTGTTATATTTCATCTAGATCTTTCAGAGGGGGCATTCTCACAAGCAGGACATAAATCTTCTCTGTTTGTTTCCACTGTTTTACTGTGTGTATGGTGTGTATGCTTGACTTGGGGGAAAAAAATGTCATGGCTAACTGTATCTAACTGTATTGGGTACACATCCAGACTCCTTGAACTAAATAAGCAAACAAAAATGCTCACAAAAGAAATATCTTATGTTGGAACTTTTGTGCTAGAAAATGTTGCATGTCTGAGAATTATTGGCAGAGCTCTGCCAGCTGGGCAGGAGCCCAACATAGGTTATTTGTCAGTGACCATGTACTGGAGTCAGGCCCTGTGACAGCGTAAGTTGCTGGACATCTGTCTGACTTGCAGCTGCTTATTAGTGCCAGTGTAGGTGGGCAGAATGCTCTGATGTCACGTTTGTTCCTTCCTGTACTCATCTTGGGAATGCTCTTTCTGTCCTTCCTTCCCCTCTGCAGGTATAGTCATTTCCTCCTCAGCAAGCCCCACAGAGGGAACTAGTTCAGACAGCTGCCTTACTTCATCTTCAAATGACAGCTCAGTGGCCCTGAGCAACTGTTTGGCAGGTCAAGTAATGACGGGGAGCCCAGCCACAGCTAGGATGACATCACCCTTCCTAGCTTCTCAGTCTGACGCTCCGGTGTTACAAGCCCAGGGCTGCATGGGAGGTGCTTCTCTCCTGCCTGTCAGCTTCCAAGAAGGAAGACGAGCATCTGATACCTCATTAACTCAAGGTAACTCCTTCCTTGCAATATCCCAGCAATAAAGCACCCTTGTAGTTGCTACTAGAAAAGGGTAGCTTTCTTGCCTGTGTTGGGATTACACTGAGGCCGCCTGGATATTCTGCCTCATGTATTTGTGGTTCCTGAGGAGGGTGCTGAGGTTGGGAGGCTGTCGCATACAGCTTCGGCATGCCCATGAAGATGTTCCTGCTGCTGTGAGTGGGATGGCAAGCTCCACCCTTCTCCTAAAATATGGAATGCTCATCGTGTTTTATAGCAGCTTTGTCCTTTGCTCCGTATATGTCCATCTGAATAAGAGTGCAGCTGTCCCAAACCCTGTTCCATCACATCAATTTTACTCTGTCCATCAGGCAGAGATGCAAACGTGAACTGAAGGGTCACAGTTTCTTCTAGTGCAGTGCTCACGTAAATGAAGGCAGCTGCCCAGAAAGGCTGATCTGTAAAGTAGGCTCTCAGTCAAATGCTAAGAAGGATTAAAGTGCATTTCTTCTCCTCATGTCCCACAGGCTTGAAGGCTTTTAGGCAGCAGCTGCGGAAGAACGCTCGAGCCAAAGGGTTTCTCGGCTTGAATAAAATCAAAGGCTTTGCTCGGCAGGTGTGTCAGTCCTCCTCATCTCGGGCAGCAAGGAGTGCCATGAGCCCTTTCCAACACGCACAGCCGAACACCTGCATCTACAGCAGCAGTGGGAGCAACAGAGAGGGAAGAAACCTTCTGGAGGAAGTGCTACAACAGCAGAGGTGAGAAGCTGACCTGGAGGAGTTTTGCTATTTTCCTTGGAGTTGTTTTGGTTAAGGGCAAAGGAGGAGGAGTAAATGCAGCAAAATGGATTGGGGAGTTTGGTCACTTTCCTCTCAGCTTTGCTGTGTGGCAGCAGATAAACTGTTCAGCTTTCTTTGTGGGTTCCTGCACTGGCACGTGTAACATAGGACGTGCGTTTCCGCTTAAAAAGCTCCATGTCCAAGTATATGGAGGTCACTGGACAGAGAAGCAGTTTGGTGCTGTGGAGGAAAACATTACTTTTCTCCATTGCAAGCTGTGTTTTTCTTTGTTAGGTTTGGGAATTATTTCTTTCCTCCTCTGCCTCCTGTAATTGTCCCATGGCAAGGAAATGAGACCTTGTAATTTGGAAAAGTTACAGCCCACAAAAGAGGCACAGTCCAGTGGCCTCAAATGTCGTGTGCAATGGCACCTCTTCATTCCCATAGAAGCAAGATGGAAAATAGAGCATCCGGTCTATCTGCATACGTTGTCTATAAAACATCTACTATTAGCTGGCCAAATTATGGCCAGATAAAATTCTAGTGGTAGTTTCCAGCTTCAGTGTGGGGAAAAACCAAGAGAAAACATGCTGATCTGGCATGGCAGTCACTTTAATCGTACTGTCTGGGTAGGGTGAGATTCCTCAGAAAGGAGGAAATGAAGGGGAAAGTTAGAATCGGGAGTAAAGGTAGGGGTGGGAGATAGGAGGAAGGAAAACTTGAAGCCTTTCTAGCATTGCGAGTTAACATCTTCCATCCTTGGACTTTGTTCAGAATACTCCAGCTTCAGCATCACCAGCTACTCCAGCCAGCTTGTCCCCAGACTTCTCAAGCATCTGCGACAAATGGCCTCCCCCCCTCTGATAACGCAGGTACCTGCAAAGCCTCCAATTCTCTTCTGTTGTCAGAGCTACAAAGAGAGAACTCATTTGAGCTGGCCTTTGCTGGCAACAGCCAACTGCTCCAACCTCATTTCTTTGGTGTCAGCGTGTCACCGGTGTCCTCAGCAGCTCACCTCCTAGACACTCACCTGTATATCAGCAGCAACGTCTCTCCGGTCGGCACCACCTTCTCTCAGCAACAGAGTTTCTCTGCTCAGTCTCCGAGCTACGACGCTGTCGCTTTGCAGCACGGGGATTGTGAGATGGAGGACTTGACTTCCAACCAGCTAGGGAAGTTTGTCCTGGTCAAATGAGAGCTCTGGCTGCTACAGCTCACGCTGCTCTTTTTACAAAGAACTTGCACCGCTGTTCCATGGCATGCATAGGTCCGTGGCTGGCTGGTGTTGTGTGGATGAGTGACTCTCAGAAGCAATAAATTTTGAAGTATGTGAAGAGGCTGTCTGGCTCCGAAAGCTAGCAACTTTATAGAACTGAAACAAGCAATATGTATGTCTTTTTGCTTCTACTATTCTTGCACTGAACAAATACGAATAGAAACTTTTTTTTTTTTTTTTTAAAAGGAAAAATAATGATGGGGGAAGATGGGTGGGGCATTTGTGGGGACAGGGAGGGATGTGGTTGGGGAAGAAGTCTTCGGTACTGTACTCAAGTCAGACCAATACAGCTCTGCTGTTATGCAAGATTAGCAGCTGTCGGTAGTGGTGACACAGCAGGGAGAGGCTTTTCAAAGAAGGGACCAGAGCCTCCCTCTTTCACAATATTCATTTATGGGTTTGTGAAGATGATTACCTCTTTTAAAGAAAATAAACAGAAAACCAGTGGCATGCAACATTATGCATTCATAGAAGACAAAAATGGAAGCATTGCCATTTGTGGGGTTGTTTTTTTTTTTTTCCTCCTGTTAACACTCATTTTGTTTTAAAGGAACCAACATCCCCATTCCGCATCTCCCAGATATGTATACTTTAAATGAAAACTGTGAACTTTCTGCTTGATATGTCAGCTAGAAAACCTTTTTTTTTTTTTTTTTTAAGAAAAAGAAAAGCCAACAACCAAACAGCATTCTAATTAGCACAGAAGCAAGTAATCTCTTGAAAATGCATCCTTTGATATCAGGATCTAAATTACAGACTGTCTGGTGTTCTGCAGGGCTGGGGTGTGTGTGTGTGTGTGTGTGTGTGTGTGTAAGCACATGCACACATGCGTGTATTCTGTTGGTCTAAATAATCTTTTGGTCTCTTTTGATAAATGCTGAGTTTGTTTGTATTCCTGCAGAGGCACCGAGGAGCGAGCTCTTATTACCGGTGGGGTGATGGGAAGCATTTTCCTTTTAAAAAGCCCTCCTGGAGATTGCCTACAGAGTTGTCTGAAGGGTATTTCTTAGCGCTGCACATTGTTATTTCCGCTGCTAATTATGTTTTTATGCATTTCATTATCAGGGTCCAAATAGAACTGACTCTTGGGGAAATGTGCAATATTGAGGTTATAATTATATTCTGACAAAGACAAAAGGAATAGGCTAGAACAGAATTCTGCTTTAACAGAGTACAGCTATTTCTGAACAAAACTGTATTAAAAGCAAGTAAAACAGCACAATCTTTGGGTGTTTGTTTTTGGCTGGTTTGTTTTTAGCATATTAGCAAAATGAGGTTTTGGATTAAGTAGGTTTGTTTTTTTTTTTTTGTATGGTTTTTAATGCTGTATATGTATATAAATAGGAAGCAGAAAACTATGTAACACTAGTTATTTTTTATATTTTGTAATAAGCTTCTATTGTGTTTCTGGTATAACCCCACCTCCCTCCCAAGGCAGAGCATGACTTCTGTTGCTGTCAATAGAAGATGTGCTTAGGTGTAGAGGGGAGCCCAAGCCATGCCCTTACAGCAGTGAGTAGGGCAGGGTGTTCCAGCTTTGGAAGCAGGTGAGCAAACAGTGAGCCAGTTCAGCTGGAAGTTGCATTCAGGAAATAGCTGCATTTTGTCTAAATGCTTCAAGGACCCATCTCCCTCGTGTGACACAGGGTGCCTTCAAGTTACCTTGGCTTCGTGCAACCTGCAGTATTACGCATTTACAAATAATATAGATACCTGTTTTTTGGTTTTTTTTTGTTTGTTTGTTTTTTAATTAAAAAAAAAAAGCCAAAGATTGATCAGATTGATTAATTGGAGTAGGAATGGCTGAAGATGTCACGTGGCTCTGTCTGTGGCTCTCCATAAACAACCTCTTTATCTGTGTGTAGTATCAGTGTGTCTATACTGGTGCATCTCCAGTTTGCTGCTGCAGCTACGTGGTCTGGAAGCTTCAACATGAGAGAAAATTGCTTGAGTAGAATATCTGAATGAGCGGTGCCTTGCAGCAGAGAAAACACCAAAGTCTCACTTTAAATTATAGTGATTTAAAAACAACAAAAGCAAACAATAACAAAAAAAAAAAAAACCAACCAAATGAACATGGAGATGGCTGGAGAGGAGGGTGAGAAGAAGCAGCAACTTTGCCTTCAGTTTTGTAAGGGGTAGCGCACAGACTGAAAACACAGATTTTTTTTCCTCTTTGATATTTGTTCTGTTTAAATGCCATGGATCAAAAGGCCACAGATTCTTTTGTTTCCTGTCCTAAGCAATGACAAGCACTTTACTTTCATAGTATTTTTTTTTTCCAATTGCTGTAGAACCTCTTTGGATTTCTTGCTGGAACAGAAAGAGGTCATTTTAAAAAGTTTGGGTTTTGGTGGTTTTTTTTGTTTGTTTTGTAGATATCTTGACAGTGCTGTTCTGCAGACTGCAATGCAATAGGGTATTTAAAGACACTACATGATTGGTTTAATTAAGATGTACAGTTTATTTTTTATCATGACTGAACAATCATTTTATTTCTTATGTTAAAATGAGAGATGTACACCAAAATGATTAGTCTGTGTTTTATTTAATATTTAAATAAAAAATGTTTTAAAATCGCTCTGTCTTGCATATGGTTGGATGGAGTTCTTTCTCCTGCTGCTCTCTACACTGCAGCTCTGTGTAGTTAAGATTCATTTTAAAGCTTGAGTCCACAGGACATTACTGGCACCTCCTATTATGTACTAAATGAAGAGGAATGGCTGGCTCAAAAATCTGATAATGGGATATTGAGCCTTTCACTGGTAGGCAATCTGTCTGAATCTAACCCAAGTCTGTAGTAATCGGGTTATAAAATCTGACAGCTAGAGAGGTCTATGGAGTGAAAATGGTCAAGCATAGTTTAGTCATTACCAGATGAGCAATCCATCCGTGTCACCTTCATCTAAAAGAGGCCTCAGCCAGATTAAGGCACTGAGGGGGAAAAAACTACAGCAAGGGAAGCAGAGGTTCTGGGGGTGATGGCATTTCTCCTTCCAGCTGCAAAGACAAGTGCAGGGGTACCTGCTGCAGCCAGGCTGTGCCCCGCATTGCCTTCGCAGCAGGCTGCCTACTTGCAGGCTGCAGCACGGATGCACTCAACAGACTAAAACTGAAAAACCTCCTGACTTAAATAGAAGATCAGTCTGCTCCCTCAGGAGGTGAGAAAGCAGAGTTAGGAAGCTCACAGGTACTGTCAGAGAGGTGGCTGTTCTGCATGTGTTTTCCTAGGGTTGTGTTTTCTGCATGGCTGCATCCAAAATGAGGATTTTCACAACTATGGAAAAACAACAGAGATGTTTTTAATTACTTCTGCCTTGCTTTTATTATGACCCGGCTTAAGAACTACACCAGCTGCTATTTTCACAAGGTTCTCAGGGCTATTTTAAACCCCGGCAATTCTGTGAGTTCTTAGAATGTTGCTTCTTAATGGACAAAAATCAATGCAATTCCACCAGCTTGTGCCAACATAACTGACCCTTGAGTATAGAAGGATCTGACAGCATCGTGATTTCTTGGAAATGGCAGGGAAAATCAGAACAAGGAAAACGTGGAACTCTGGACTCAGTTTCCATGTGTACATAGTTTCACTCTCGGTGCTTTAGTCACCGTCTTCCAGCCTTTCCTCTGACATTTGACTCTGATCCTGCTTACCATGTTTGGTTTGGTCCTCAATATCTCTCCAGATGTTGCACTGCTTTGCTTCATTTCTCACAATGCAACTCCATACCTAGTGTTTTCCTCTCTTTTCTTGTCTGGAATTGATGTTTTGTTCCCCCTCTTTCAGGTGGAGCTTTAACACAGCCCCTAAAGTGAATGACCAAACCTTGTTGTTTTGTTTTCTGTGGTTTTTGTTTGTTTAAAGGAAGTGCTTGGAGCTGGCAGGAGATGCCAGGCTGGTAGCAGTGAAAAACACAGGCTGCTTTTTCATAGAGCAAGTCGAGCACAAGTTGCAAGCCCAGACCTTTGGTGCCATTGTGATCCGGCCACAGGAGACAGAAGCTCCCCTGCCCCTCTCCTCCTGCCCACTGCCAGGTGAAGCACGATCCATCCCAGAGCCACCACTTTCCTGCTGGCTGTGCTGCAGGAGGAAGTTTTTCATGCAGAGAGTGGTGACACTGGAACAGGTTGCCCAAGGTGGTTATGGATGCCCCATGCAGCTCCCTTGAATGGAGGCATTCAAGGCCAGGCTGGATGTGGCTCTGGGCAGCCTGGTCTGGTGGTTAGCAGCCCTGCACATAGCAGGAGGGTGGAAACTACATGATCATTGTAGTCCTTTTCAACCCAGGCCAATCTGTGATTCTTATTATTCTATGATCCTGGCCTGTGTCAGCTGGAAAAGGAGATGTATCAGAAAGGAGAGCAGCTGAGCTCACAAAATGTTGGTACATGAGATGGAAAGCGATCGGTGCTTCCGTTTCACTCATCCTGCAAAGTGAGAATAAGGCACACCTCATGCAATGAAGGAGAATTAATTTAAGAACTAACAGAAGGAAATGTGTGCCCCAGGAGGACACTGCTTCAAGTATGGCTGCTGGCTTATTTCATGGCTGCTAACTACTTTCAGTGGTGACAGTTAAATCAATGATAAAGAAAATCCACTGTCATGGTTTATGCATTTAGCAGTGCATCTGTGCGAGATCAAGAAAGGGCTGGTCTTTGGTACAGCCTGCCAGGGGCACGATAGATAGATTTTTGGGACAGAAATGCCTTTCTCCCAAGGCATCAGATATTAGTGTGTGCCAAAGGCAAAATGTTCACACAGGGTAAACAGACTTGACCATCACCTGCAATATATTTTGGCTTCTTAATATACATTTTATGTCATACATAACGTATTAAGCAGTGTCAGTGCCCCAGACCAAAAGCACAGCTACTCAGCTCATTTTAGAGGCAGGCTCCTAGCATAAGGGCAAGTACAGTGCAATCTCTCCGTGCTATTACCAGCCCAATAGCAAGTGAACTGCAGTTTAAGGAATTGACTGGCATCTGAGTCACTGTGTTCAACAGCTGCAGATGGGTGAAGCCTCCAAGGATTTGGCTAACCCTTTTTGGAATTCTTTTGTATTTCTGGCCTCCAGAGTGTCCTGTGACAATGAGTATCATCATTCAATTTTCCATGGTGTGAAAGACTTTTTGTATTAGGCCTGCAGTCCAACAGATTGGCTTGTGCTCCCTTTCTGTTGCTGTAGAAGATACAAAGAGTAAAGTTCTCCTGTTCACATCTGCATGCTGCTCATAAGCTGATGGGACCTCTTGTATCCATCCCATCACTGTAGAGGTTAGGTGACCAAGCAGAATACTGCTATACTTAGTTTGTCTGTCCATGGAAACGCTGCACATTTCTGTGCAATGTTTTCTGTATCCTCACCAATTCTTCTTCATCCTCTAAATGTGCAGAGCTGTCCCTGTTTCTGGGGCATGAACACAGAAGAAGTGGTCTTGCTTGTATTCCTTGCTCATTCTACACTAATCCCCAAAGCTCTTATTTGCCTTGCTGACAACTGTTGAGCAGAGAGCTGGAGTTTTCAGCAAACTTAGTGACACTGAGCTTTCCAGCCAGGCATGTTGATTTAGAGTCCCTGATGGACTTTTTTATGGCTAAGGTTGGTGTTCTCTGTGGCACTCGCTTTGTATTTACTGCTGGT